GTGCGGCCGTCTCAGCATTGCAGAAGTATTTGATGGCGAGGCAGAGGGGGCGAGGGCAGGGCTCCAAAGGGCCCTTCCTACCTCCCAAGGCCAGCCTATACATATCTGTATTGATAACACCAGTGTCATCCAGGGGATACGCGGCAACATCCCAGACTCCTCACAAGCTGCCTTCTTAGAGATCCAGGCAGCAGCCAGGATATATACTATACAAACCCACTGGTCCCCAGGGCACCAAGGGATAAAAGGAAACGAGGAGGCTGACAGCTTAGCTAAGGAGGGCACAACGCTGCCAGTCCCCAGAGGCCTACTGCCGACCCTATCAGGGATCAAGCGGCTTGCTCAAGAACGCAAACAACACCAGCATAGAAAATGGTGGAAGAAGGAGGCACCCCCCTGTTATACCCAGCTGGGGCTTAAGGCCACCCTTGGCTGCCCTCCTGAACTAGCTCTACCAAGAGCTACCCTTCATCATCTCCTAGCAGCACGATCAGGCCACGGAGACTTCGAACAGTATCATCAACGCTTTAACCACACAGAAGCACTGCTTTCCTGCTCCTGCGGGGAGGCTAAAGAGGCAGACCACCTGGTCTACTGCCGTAAGACACTAGTGAGGAGGCAACGGTGGCCTATCCTCCACCCTTATAGTCGAAGGGAGCCTCTAGGACCTATAGGCTCTCTAGAGCGCTACTTTAAGGGGCTAATCACCGATTATGAAGGCTTCCAGGCCTTCCTTGACGTGACAGACTTCTTCCAGAAGATCTGCCCGCGTTACTAATAGATAGGACTTAACCTATCCTCTCAACAACAGACTACCTATAGTTATCAGGACAGCAGATTGCTATAACGGAACTAGGGCACCAGTGGGAACTAGGGACGGATAGAACACATAGTGGCCCTCGGGCAAGATCTGGAGGACGCTAGGAAGAGGCGTGTACTACACAGTAGATAGCTAGATCCTGCGGCCCTCCACGCCACATACCCTTCGGGAGGTCTGCCGCAAGGGCGGCTGCGCCCTTGCCGCCATGGCGTTAATAAAAAAAAAAAAAAAAAAAAAAAAAAAAAATCAGACTAAGGCCGAGTTAAGTGTGGTGGATATTCCCAAGGAAGCTTACACCCCAAGTCGTGAATCCAAGCTGTGCGTTTCATTAAAAAGTTATTGTAGGCAGTGAATGTAAAGTTGAAGGCCTGGAAAAGCAGGAAGATATGCCACGTTGCCGGTATGTATTGAGGATCGAGGTAAGATGCTAGTGAGAGTACCATGACCGGCATCTGTATGACGAAGCCTGCTCCGTTGGCTATCCAGCCCAGGAAGTTGACTGATCCACAGCAGTAACTCTGTGGCATCCACCATCAGCATTGCTATCGCGCGCGATTATGCATTTGCGCATGGACCTTACTAGTACGCGACTAGAACGTTCTGGTGCAAGAATGCTGGTCCAGTGATACTGGCCTCCGGCTGTCGGATAGACGGAGGCAATCTCAGCCATACTTAGAGCGCAGGCACCCCCAAGAACGAAGATGAGAATGATGCCGTACAACAAAGTGACCGGACCGCCCGACGCAATTGAGATTGATAGCGTAACTGCAATAGCCGACCAGCTATTGCAGATGTTCCATCCGAGGCCAATAATCTCAAGAAGTCCAATGTCCCGCTTTGTAGGAGATTGGAGACCGAGGCGTTTCAAGTCGGCATCTTCGTCGCTGCTCACTCCAACCGACTCATCTGAAGACTCTAGAATCAGCCCATGATGCCAGGATAGATTCTTGCGGTGTGGGTGACGTACAACTTTCGGTCCTTGCCGCATCTCGGGCGTACGATGAGGGCTTGCCCCGGCTATCCGCGGCGTCGAACACCATACCTGTGATGAGAAAGAGAGGACAAATGCGACAGCGTAGATAATGAGCATTTCAGAGGATTTTCGATTGAATTTAAGCATAACAAAATGCATGCTCAGCATTACGTTCTGCATTCCAAGATCAGACCACTCGGGCGACGGAATCTGCATGCATGCATGCATCGCTGATCTGCACCGAGCTGCAGTCATCCGCAGGGTAGCGCTGCAATGTGCCAATTGCGAGGCCTCATTCGTGGCCAAAAATTGAAGTTTCACCATGAGAAGCAATCTTCATCTTAGTACGATGCAACGTATGCAGACTCATCACGTACAATACCTAACCTTTGGGCAAAACTCAGCTTGAAGGCAAGGTTCCGGCTAACCGAGATGCTCGTTTATGCAGGGAGGTGCCATCGCTTCACTTTTGCGGTGCAAAGTGTTCCTCTTCTGCTTGGCTACATAAGCATCCAGGATCGCTTCTATCAGAACCGAGTGTCTCACTGGTGTGCAAATGTTCAATACCAGCCCCCTCCACCTAGCTGGTAGCACTGTCATGAGGTGAATCTTGCAGGTCACCTCAAAGGCGTTGCACGTAAAGGCCAAAAAATCATCTGTCTTGCCCCAAATTTACATGTTCTGACAGCAAACATGAAGCAATGGAAAACGCCCATGCAAGAGCTTAATTGAATCGACAGCATAAGTGCCCTCTAAGCTTTGATCCCTACACACAATACAAAAAAGATTCATCTACGCCATTGAGCGCCTGGTATTTGAAATGAAAGACAGGAACAAAAGCATTCACATAAGAAGTTTCAAAACACAGAAGAGATCCCCAATGAAATGCCTAATCCCAGAGCCATCGTAGAGACGGACCATTCGAGAGTTCCTGCCATGTTGGGCCTATCACCAAAGCCGTCGGGCTCACGACTCCCCTGCACGACGTTATTTGCTCGGACGCATCGAAAAAGTTGATAGTCCGTCTGGTTTTCGCCATTGTCATAGTTGAACGACAAAACAACAGGCCAGACTCTTGTCAGTGCTTCGTCGTAGGAGTCGTTGGTTTCCTTCTCATCAGAAGCGTTGAAAATTCCAGCCACCCATGAGTACAGGCTGTAAATCGGACCGGTGTCGTTGTTTGCTGTTGCCTCTGTCTGGTTCGTCAAGTTCTCTGCACTTGGTGTTAGATGGTAGCTCATACGAGAACAGGGTGACTGTCTTACTTATGAGGTATGATAGGGGGTCTATCTTCTTGCCACAGCTGTCCGGTTTGTGGATCAGGTCACCGCTGGTTGAGTTGCATCGCGCTGTTCTGGCCGCTTGCTTCAAATCCTCAATGCACATATTCGAGATCCAGCCGTTGCAAGAGCCATCTGTGTCTTTGTCCAGTGTCTCCAAGTCTTTCTTGGTGTACGGGTCGCTGATTCCATTCCAGACATACGAGCAGAAGGAGTAGTTGCTGCTGACGCTGCCCGCTTCGAACGCGTTCTTGGGCCCTTCGAGGTCGATGGTGACAGGGTTGATGTTCCATACGGCGTTTCTTTCAGGTTCCTCTTTGGGCGTATCGCCATTGGTTCTATTGGTTGCAACTTTTACCTCGATGCTCCAACCATTACCTCGGCCATACAGAGTCGAGTCCGGTGGATTCACTAATGGTTTAGAAAGGTCAATACCGACGATTGGCCAGCTTCCGGTCGCATTTGGTTCCTTTACGGCATTTGGGACAATGGTGGAGTCGTTCCATATATCTCGATGGTAGAGTGTTCCACGGTTCGCGAGCGGGTACAATCCTGCGTTGGAGGCGTAAACTCCCAAGGTGGAGCTGAGCCCTACTAACAAGCCGGTAGTCCGCCACAATATGCCCATGTCTACGTTCAGAGTGAAAAAAAAAATAATTGTGATAGTATGGGGAGACCCAGAAAATACAAATCAGAAGTGACGCCCAGACTAGTGATCCGCTGCTGAATGCTTCAGCAACAACAATAGACTTGTGCTATGAGTGAACAGCTGTGTGACTACTGAGATGCCGGCGTGCTTTTATCATGTTTGTTTAGGAGAATTCGATCTATCCCTTCTGCCAGATGCGTAGAGATATGACGTGGAGGCCTTACCATAGCTAGGTAAGATTGCTTAAAAATAAGCTTGCTTGCCCTGCAGGATTCGCGATCGGCGTGGCACAGAGGTCCGGCTGAGGTACTTTGGTATTTGCTGACAGGGAGCTAAGGTGACAGCTGCCCTACCGCTCTTCACTATTTGAGCTTGCCAAGACGCGATTTCAGTCATGTTTCAATTGAAGGAACGCCTTTTGTGTTGCATTGTACGTCATTCTTGAGGCGATGCTAGAGGGCGGAGACGCTCCTCACAATGCGGCACTCAGGCTGAATACAAGGCGAATGGCAACTGGGTATTTCATTATTTTCATCTCAATGGATATTCTTAATACTTCAATATCGTGACCTAGTGTCTAGCATCAGGTGCTGGTGGGCAAGCGGCGGTATTCGGCAACACATTCGTCGCGCCGCTTCCATCGAAGTAGCAGGTGCCCAAACTGTTTTCGCACGGCGAGTCAGGACCAGGACAGCACCATCCATACGACATCCACTCATAGTTCTACATCGATTGGATTAGCTCTGTGTTTAGTATGAGGGGTCGATAAGGATACTCACATAGCAAGGCACGGGGGCAGCAACCGTGGTTGTCGATGCGGCAGGTTCGGTAACGACCTCAACGATTGAGGTCGTTGCAGTTGGCTCGAATGTGATGACTACTAACGGCGATGAGGTTGTATCAATCGCTGCAACTGTGCTAGATGGCCCCTGGCTGGACGAAAGGGAAGCCGACGTAGGAGGGGCGCTAGAAGGAGAATCTGAAGGCTCATTGAGAGGGGTGCTGGAAGGCAAGTTTGAGGTGGTCGTGGTATCGTCGGCTCCTCCCCCTCCGGCTCCGCCACCCCCGCCCCCACCTCCACCAACGGGAGGGACAACGGCGCCGGCCCCTGCGGCTGGGACGGCGATAGGAACGACAGGCTCATACTGGTTGCCATTGGCATCTGTCATGGGTGGTGCTGTGCTGTAGGAGATGGAGTAGGAGACGCCAGAAGAGAACGTGATCGAGAAAGAGGTCTGAGTCGATCTACTAATGCTCCGCGTGCTACTCTCGGCTTCACTAGTTTGTGACGGAGCGGAGTTGGTAGCTGATCTCGACGGTGTATTGCTGGACGATGGCTGGGCGGAACTGCTTGCCGAAGAGGTGCTCGAACTCGTCGAGGACGCCGAAGCTGACGTCGATGAAGGGGAGGACGATGATGACGAATAGGTGGAGGAAGTGTGGGTGGAGCTTGAGGGTGATGATGATGATGCGGTAGAACTGCTGGAGCTGGATGTTGTCGTAGTGGTACTCGCAGTGCCGCTGCTGGACGAAGACGACGATGAAGATGAAGACTTGCGCGTACTTGAAGACTTGGTTGAAGAGCTTTTCTTGCTCGACGTACGCGAGCTTGAGGACCTGGATGACCTAGACGTAGTAGTGTTTCGGTGCGTGGTTGTATTAGTGAAGATATGCGTGGAAAACGTCGTCGGAATACCCGTCGAGTTGAACGTCGGGGGCGGCGTGATGGTGGGCGTGACTGGACCAGCTGCCTGGCGGTTCACGACATTGTAGTGAGCTGCTTGATGCTTGTAATGCTCAGCTCTCTGAAGCAAGTGATTGGCCTGTTCATCACGATGTTGGAGCCCCTGAGTTACCCCTGCTACCGCAGTGAGGGCTACAAAAACAGCTGAAAGGTGCATTTTTGAAAAGAATGGACTCGGCAGAAAGAGTGGCTGCCTGTGTGGATTGAAAGAGTAACTGGAATTTGGGCATCGAAGAGCACACCGCAAACTTGCAAGATAGGAGAAACATGATCACATTTTGTACGGACGACCCCTCTGGCGCACCACTTCGTCGCTTCCTGTCTTGCACCGCCGCGAGCCCCATCACCAAGGCCGCTTGGCGAGCTAATGCATCTTGACTATCGCATTAGGAAGTTGGTATCCATCTGAATGCCACGCGAAGTCTCGGCACCGATGGGATGTTGCTGGCGTGCTTGAGCGGAGTCGGCAAGGTCGGCAGAGCCCCTTAGGACCCGACGTGCCCCATCGGCGAAGGGGACTCGGCCGCAAAGTCCGTCCGAATCCGGACCCCCGGGAGCGCGAGTAGGGAGCACCACGCCTCAAAAGCAGGATGCTATGCCAGTCGACGCAGGCTAACGAGACGAACGGTGGAGTAGAGATGCCCATTTGGTTGGCTGTGAGAGCCGCGTAGGGCTGGTGCCCGAGTCAGTTGTTGATGCTCCTGAAACTTCGTGTTAATTTGCTGGCTGGAAGATAGAGTGAAGACCCATTCACCCCTGTCTGGCAGAGAGCTGGGCGGAGGTCATGGCGTCGATGGGCGCGTTCACGATAATCACGAGGCATCAAGCGGTGCGGTGCCGACAACATCACCGGATTGCTCGGTGTAGGGCTGAGGTGAAGCGCGTGGCATTGCTGTACTAAGTGGGCAAAATGTGGGATCTAAAGCGATAGTCTGATCATGCAATCACGATAGTAAGGAAGGAGGACGGCAGGATTATTGATCAGGTTTAAAATGAAATCGTAGAGGAGATCCATCCTGCTGCCGTCTTCATGCACGTCAATGGCACTCCACTATTTCCATTCATAGAACCAAAATTGGGGCTTCTCAGTTTGGCAGGTCTGATTTTAGTCGGCGAAAGTCCGTTTTTCTGCTTCGGGAGAATATTACTCAGATAGGCAAACGGAATTATATGGAAAACCTGGAGGCCAGGGGCGATGATGGCGATGGAGGGCATTTCTCGGCTCAAACATTAAATCCCCGAGGTTCGGGAGATCTGGCTATTCTACTACCTCAACCAGTGACGTATCAGCTGGTAAAGGTAAACTTCTATCTACATTCATCAACAGGCAAAAGTTCGCCTTATCGACCAAAATATCCAAATGCTTGTAACCGTCTCCAAACTTCTGCCCTGCTATCCTCACCGTCTCCATCAATATATCAATAGGCCCGACATCCATAACTGATGTGATTATTGTTGGTGGGTTCAGCGATAAAAGGTCGGCCAATGAACATCCAACATCAAACACCTTCTCCAAGATGCCGACGCCATTCGCCTCAAACGCTGTGGTGGGCAAGAGCCTGGAGACGAGCACGGTATCTCGAGCGATGGTAGTGGGATAGCTGAGCGACATGCTGTCCTCACTATCGGTCCCCGATAGCAGCGTCCTTGATACACAGAGCTTCCACACAATGACTTTCAGCCATTCCCGGGTGATGAGAAGATCGGCCTGCTGCATCGGAGAAAAGCTGGACACGTTCGCAAGTGAATTTGACAGAGTGTTTTGCAGCCGTGCCAACTGTTCAGGCTCTGCCGATTTCGATGTCGACGATGGTGTAGATGAGTTCCACGTGGCGATGAAATCCGTGTCAAAAGGCCGGAATAGGGAAATGAGCTCCAGGAAGCCGGGCAGAATTTTGGCATCGGGGCTGAGCGGGTCGATCTGGGGAAGATCCAACATGGGCTGCAGTGTCAATGGCCGGTGCCGTTGCATTGCATATGCTCGCTCTGTGATGAACAGTACCCAAAAGATGCGTCGCGCGTACTTTTTGGTGGAAGCGTCGGCGATTTCGTTGTATGTTGCCTCTTCATGGTATCGTAGCGTCTGCAGAATGGTCATGGCCTCACGGATGTAAAACCATGCTGCGTTGTCATTGTTGAGGCAGAAGTAGATGCAGTAAAGGAAGAATGAGGTTTGGACTTGTGCAAGCGACTGCGTATCGGCGACATTGTGGTATCCTCTTGATCGCAGCGCCTCTGAGAGGAAGAAGTCAACCGGGGGAAGGTTGATCCCTGCTGAACTGCTTTGTTGTAGGTTGGATAAATCCGCAGGAGTTGATAGTATCTCGGGGTCCAAAGCGATATTGGCACAACACGACATGAGAAGGCCATAACTTTCGGGACATCTTGGATATACGCGCACGCATTCTTCCATGCGTTGCTGGTCCAGCATTGGTGTGATAGGGTATTTGTGTTTGAAATAAGCGTCGAGACATCGTCTGATCATATCAGCCGATACTTGAGGCGACGGTTGGAAGCCGTTATCTACCCCAAATGCACTCCGAGGCAAGGCAGGTACTGGTGGTTTCGCTCGTGAAGCATGCCCAGTCTCACTGCACCCAACTCCAGGTTCTGGATAACCCGGTTGAGGAACTGGAGCCGGTGCCGCCTGTCGTCGATAGTCTGGTCTTCGCCCATATCTTGGTCCCTTTGGTCCGGTCTTCTTCGGGATTGCGCAGTACGTGCAGTCGACCTTGGCGATGCGACAGTTCATGCACGGACGCCGCCCATCGCATCGGATCTTGCGCGTGTGGCATGTATCGCACGCTTGTCGGACCTTAGCCGCCGCCTTTCTCATGCCCAGGAACGCGGTTTCTGGCGACATTTCCCCTCGAGCACGCACAAACAGAAGATATCAAGAAGACGTTGAAGGAGCCTGCGAATACGAGTGACGCGCAAAGAATAATCTGGGGTTGGTGGGCTCGGTCCCCCTTTAAAGTCTAGACCGTCTTGGGTCTAGATTTAGACTTGGCGCATCGGTTTCCGATTGGGGAGAGGTTACCCCACGAGTCAAATTTGGATTCAATATTCAGCGAAAATGAGGGCGAGTTCTGCCCATCGACAATGAGGATCAAAAGCTTCCCATTAACATGTGGCTACCAATAATACCAGACCTGAACCGTGAGCGATGTTTGGGAGCACACTCCGCCGTTTGCTGCACCGTGGCGGCTTCATACATACACTCAAGCACGTGCCTTCTCAATAAGAACACGGTCCGCGACGACGTAATTCGCGAACTTTCGGGGAGGAACGCGATTCGCGTAGAGAAAGTCGATGTCCTGGTAGGTTCTATTCTTCGTCTCTGGCTGTAACCAGAACAGCAAGGCGAGGATGAATACTTCGGCGCCGACGAAGAGGAACATGACTTTGCCGCCCCAGTTGAGCTGATCCGGGTTTATAAAGAAGGGAAAGACCGAAGACAGCAAGAGGGCTGTGAGCTGCTGGCAGACCAAGGTGAACGCGATCGTCTTGGGTCTGGTCTTTTGACTGGCGGTCTCTTGAGCGACCGCCCAACCGAAGCATCCGACTGTTGCAGTGTAAAGCATGGACCATGTAATCATGAAAGCGAGCAGAGCCATGTTTGCTGCCTTGTTGCCAGTTCCAGCGAGAGAAGTGCCACCGATGATAATCGACCAGCAGCACAGCAATGTGCCACCACCAACTAGGGACTTTCGACGAGGAAGGACGTCGGAGACGGAGACGGCGAAGCAATTAGAAAGGAATTGCAGTGTCGAAGAGATCACCGTAAGTCCGAAGGGGTCTGATTGACCGATGAGTTCGAAATAGTACGTCTGATAAGTGTTTGCGAAGTACCCGCCGCTCAGATTTTGCGACTGCAAACCGAGAACTGCAACGAGAGTCCTGTATCGGTGCTCTTTTGTGAAGATGGCTTTCCAGCTGGTTTGGCTGGCGGCGGTGTTTTCGCCCGCCTCCGTCTCCAACTCGGACTTGATAAAGTGGAGCCGCTCTTCTACGTCAGCATTCTTGCCATAAAGCTTTAGAATTGCCTTTCTGGCGTCGTCGTCTCTGTCCTTCTTGACGTACCAGACCGGCGACTCTGGTAGGAGCGGCAGTCCGATGGCGAATAGTGTGGGGACGAGGAAAGTCATGACGAACGCCAGGCGATAACTCCAGGGTCCGTCAATCTTCGACGAGCCCCACCCAGTTATGGAAGACAGAAAAAACCCAAGAACAATGACAACGTTGGTAAGTGAGCTGAGTGTACTTCGGAGGGCGGCCGGGGCGTTTTCGGTAACGTATAGGGGCGGCGTGGCTGTCGACAAGCCGACAGACAGCCCCAAGAGGAGCTTCGAGACGAAAAGGATAGGAAGACTAGGGGCAAAGACGAGGGCGAAGGATGCCGCCCAGGATAGGATAACGGCGGTCCATAGAACGGCCTTTCGACCGGTATAGTCGGCGAACTGACCGGTGAGGAAGGCGCCAAGCACTTGACCGATCGTACTTGCCGCGTTCCAGAGCGACTGCCAGAGGGCAGGAATGACGAACTGGTCTCCTGCTGCATAGTAGTTTCCATAGGCCTCGCGGAACTCAGGGAAGGCGATAGCTACGCCTGACAGACCAGAATCATACCCCCATCCGAAGACGAGGGACATGATATACAAAGCCCAAAACACATATCGCTTATCTTTCTTGAGGTTGGCCCAGAGACGTTGGTACTGTTGCTTGGGTGTGAGGTCTGGTTGGTCGACGGTGACCTTGAGTGCCTCGTCAACTTCGGCAGCAGACTTCTCGATGTGGTTGGCAGAAGGAGACTTGGCTATCGCCAACTCGGTCGACTTGGTGGCCATGGAGGGCTACTTATAGCTGGAGGGTCTAAGAAAGAATTAGGGTTTGTTGAGATGTTTCGGGAGCCTGAAGAGAGTGTCAATGAAAAGAGAAGAGACACAGCGACGATTTATATCAACTCCATTGAGCCTCTTACATGGACATTGCCTCTGCGTGCTCGGCCTCCGATCCACCTCCGGAGACACGAGGTATGGTGCCAGTCCCCACGGGGAACAGGAGATTTCGTGGAGAGACATCGCTAGCGTCTCCAAGAATTCGGGACTTCTCGCAATGGAGAGAGAAAATGGTTGGTTTTCTCTGTGGAAAGAAGAGATATCGTCCGTGTAAGTCGGCGATGCTGTACCTCATAGCATACCCATGGCATTCCCGATGGGGTAGCTTCGGCTGAAATGGTTGAATTTCGATTGGTTTAGATCCCGGCAAAGTGGCTGCGGGAGAAATGGGTGAATTATCATTGGCTAAAATAATCGCTGAATTGCTGGGCACGGCTGAACTGTCATTGGTTATTTCGCATTCACAAGTACTTCTGCATTCTCGAAAGAACTCTCCCATTGTGAATTTGTGACATGATCGAAGGAGTGCTCCGACGGGATCCATAGAAGCGAGACCCTAGAATGATTCTGTGGTTTCATTCTCAGCATCCAGGCTTTCTGATGACAGATGTCTTCGAATACTTATTGCCGGCCTTTGCGGTGGAAGTGAGGAAGATGGCGGCGAAGGTGGCTGTCGCAAGAGTTGCAACTAAACATAATTTTACCATGGACTAAGTGCGTATTAAGCCTGAGATCTTCATAACTTCTGGGTATTCGGGCGCCGTCGTACATTCTCGGTAACTAAATGGCCTACCTCGCCATTATTGTCGCCGTGGTCTCTGTTGTCGCCCCTCTTGCTGTTGTCCCTGCTGTCGTCTTTGTCCCTGTCGTCGTCGTCGTCGTCGTCATCTCTATTGTCCTTGTTTCCTTCGTCTCTATATCTGTCACCATTACTATCTTCGTTAGTCCTGTTGCCTCCATTACTGTTACTGCTACTAATGTTCGAACCGATCGTTGACGCTGTTGTAAACCGCCCTTCCAATCGCAACTATGTTGAAAAAGGCTATCGGCGATGCCCCGAAAGCCACACTCTGTCAAGTGACAACTTAATGATCCAGATCTTGACCTCTACGACCGAGAATTTTAGCGAGACTTGTTTTGAGTCTTAGTGGAAGGATTTCGATGTGGATTATTGCGGATATTCCAACGGCAGATCGATCTTCAGAATCACGTAAGTCGAAGTTCACCCACGGCTGAACTGTTTGGTGTTGCTTCTGTTGAAATTCATGCTCATGTTGAAGGCCATGGCGCTAGTCTTCGCGAAGTGGCGTTGCCCAACGAATCATAATTCACCCTTCTGAGCCTCAAAAGTTCACCCGAGCAACCCCCATCGTCCGTGTCTACCCCGCCGGGATCCGGACCGCATGTTGGTACCTAGGTATTAGACGCCCCTGCTAAGAGCCTCAATGTGAACATAAGAGCCGTCGCTACGTCCACTTATTCCCGTATTCGATGGTTCGAGTTCCAATTGCCCAACTTCTTCTTTCTTTTGCGATCGCAGCAGTCATGCCGGCAACGCACAGTCCCCCTGACCGCGAGTGGTGGAAGGAAGCTGTGGTTTATCAGATCTACCCAGCCAGCTTTCTGGACTCTGATGGAGATGGTCTAGGTGATCTTCCTGGTATCATCTCGAAGCTGGACTACATCAAGTCGGTCGGGGCCGACACCATCTGGCTTTCACCTATCTTTAAGAGCCCCCAGAATGATATGGGCTACGATATCTCAGATTATAGGGAGATTCACCAACCCTACGGCTCAATCAAAGATGCGGAGACGTTGATCCAGGGCTGCCACGAGAGGGTTATTAAAGTTCTCCTCGATCTAGTCGTCAACCACACCAGCGACGAGCACGAATGGTTCCGCGAATCTAGATCATCTCGAACATCCCCCAAGAGAGACTACTACTTCTGGAGGGACCCCAAGTACGACTCAGATGGAAATCGCAAACCACCCAACAACTGGGCCTCCCTGTTCGGCGGCAGTGCCTGGACCTGGGACGAGCACACGGGGCAATACTATCTTTCGCTCTTTCTACCTTCCCAGCCAGACCTCAACTGGGCTAACGAGGACATGCGCCGCGCCACGTACGCAGACATGGAGTTCTGGCTTGAGAAGGGCGTCGATGGTTTCCGAATCGACTCCATGAACCTCATGTCGAAACACCCCGACCTCCCCGACGCCCCGGTGGCGTTCCCGGACAGGGAGTTCCAACCCGGGGCACTGTACTACGCCAGCGGCCCGCGCATGCACGAGTACATCCGCGAGATGCGGGAGAAGGTGTTCGACAAGTATAACTGCATGACTGTCGGGGAGCTGGGCTTCACCAAGGACGAAGCCAGCGTAGCCTCGTACGTAGCCAGGGACAGGCACGAGCTGAACATGCTGTTTACAGGCGACATCGTCGACATGGACTTTGGGCCGA